CTTACTACTACTACACACACACACACACACACACACACACACACACACACACACATATATATATATGTATTTCTCTGGCATAGTACTGCCTTGTTAATTCTACTGTCTTATTGAAGTTTTCCTATTTGGTCTGGAGGCACGTGTTTCGCGGCATAGCTTATGTCACATACCTTTCCTGTTTTTAGTAAATGTGCGCCTAGCTTTTGGATGGTATTAGATGAGGACTGGTTCCCGTAGCTGAGTACCTCGGTGTGGTTGGCTTTCTGTGCGTCATCGTGCTATACGATAGATATCCGAAAAGAGACCCCACTAGATTCGATTATACGTATATTCGTATACGATATACACACATCCGATATACACACATGACTTGAGTGCTGTTCAGAGGCCTATATTGTGCGATGTTGCCAGCAACATCAAAACATACAGATTCTAGTAACATCAGTAAATCGATTCCTCAACAATCGAATCGTAACACGTTTAACCGCTTTTGGTGCTCAAGTATGCATCGGTTGATCACTGGCAGGACTGACGACGCAGGACGTGGCAAAGACATAAAGCGATCGGACAGTAAAAGCTATCTGAAGGGTGGCAAGAAGCGAAAGGCTTCTGAAAGAGTGTGTGAGTGACAGTGGCGCAACGTTGGTGTTTGTTAGCACAGGACAAGTGTTGGCGAGTCGTGAATATATGTGCTTTACTACAGACTCACTCGCAGACGTAAAACCCAGACGTAGTATGTAAGGGGCTGTTGGCACTACGCTTGGTCCAATTAATTTGGTCACAGTTTTGTAGTTCCTCAGACCAATGTACGCCACCTGAGTTATGGACTATTTACTTTCTGGCACCTTTGCGTTATTGAGGGGTATAATTCGAGACATAGCTGTCGTGTATGTTTACTGGCATGTAGTTTGTATGTCGTCCCATATAGCGAAGTACGAGGGTGGGTGATCACAACGAACCCCAGTTGACGTGTATGTTTACTGGCATGTAGTTTGGATGTCGTCCTATATAGCGAAGTACGAGGGTGGGTGATCACAACGAACCCCAGTTGTCGTGTATGTTTACTGGCGTGGGGTTGGATGTAGTCCCATATAGCGAAGTACGAGGGCAGGTGATCACAACGAACCCCAGGTGTCGTGTATGTTTACTGGCGTGGGTTTGGATGTTGTCCCATATAGCGAAGTACGAGGGTGGGTGATCGACAACGCACCTGTAACTGGCAGGCAAAGTCAACGTCAGCCAGATAGGACGCCTTAGAGTGCGAGACAGACCGTGTTCCCATAGTGTCTGTTTGACTGTCGTTTCTGTTCAGTGGGGTGTTTCGATTGACGTTGTTCACCGAAATAAGCTCAGCGCGGCGCATGAGGTAGTGTCAACGCGTGATCACGTTCGTTCAGAACACACTCATTGGCTTGTGTTGGGTGGGATGTATCCAGGCTCATTCATTGCAGCGCGTATGCTCTGTTACAGATAAAGTCCCGGTGAGTTAAAGAAACACACTCAATAACTCGCATAACGTACTTGTATTATGCGGTATCATTTGCGTGTCTCAATGAACTCGTTTTTACCAGAAAGGAGCTCAGTAAGCTGCATGTACCTAACTTCACATGGCTCTGTCTGTCTCTGTCTGTGCCGCCACTTCGGTGGGTGATACAGACAACTCACTAAACAGTAGTTACAACTGGGGGGGTACTGAAAGCTCATCTCACCTCCTCATGTTTTTTTTGCAGAAAGAGGCTCAGCAAGCCGCAGACGCCACGCTCAAACGCGAAGCGCCGCCAAACAACAAGAAGAAGCGGAAGACCTCGAGTGCGAAACTACCGACGGCTGACAGTCAAGCTTCTGCCCATGAATAGATAAGAAATATATTAGTGGAGCCTGTGCTGGATAATTGCGCTCCCGTTTAATAAATAAGTTCGACTTATGTACTATCGTCACATATGTACTATCATCGCCCCCGGTCAGCATAAGTTTGTACTATTTAATTATATCGTGTGTGTTGCATGATTAACATATACCGAGCGTGTTGCATGTGGCAACCAATAGGATTCGTAGATCTGTTGCTTCGCCTTCACCAGACATTTAGGGAGTGGCAGTCTGTACCAGGAGAGGTTCCTATAGTTGGTAGACCCGCCAAAAACAATCGCTCACAGATCAGTCCATTAGCCCTAACCTGATGTATGGGGGCCATGACTCGACTGTCGGGCGAGATTCGCATAGAACACGAGTGCTTTCATCTCATGGCGTCTGCTCACTAGTGGTAGTACCAGTGGTCGTTTCACGGGTGTTTCATGGGTTGCTGGCCTATCATGTATACGCATGCACTAGTATGCGCCGTCATCGGGTTATGTGACACACATCCACTCGCTTAACTTTGCGCACATACGTCGGGGTTGGGGTTTTAGGGTTTAGCTTTTAGGTGTTTTAGGGGTTTTATTTGCACATATATGTCGGGGTTGTGCGTTCACAGGCTGTGAAGAAACCGGACGGAACATAGCACCGTGTGCATGATCAAGCAGAAGTTTCGTTGGTGCTGCAGGAAGAGTATCTGCATGTGGTATTGGCATTGGCAGAGTACACTATGTATTGGATAATTTACTTGTGACATTCGGCAAACTTATTTGAAGTGTAAAAGATCGATAGATAGGCGCAACGAAACTGTGCGAACAAATGACTGGAGCACGCACATTTTTAGTTTCGTATATGTGGAAGACTGTTCCGTTGAGAGTGTATACGGGGAGACATTATCCAATCTTCAGACTTCGACAGCTGGCATACAGCAGACACAGAGTACACCACACAGTGGATAGAGGGCTATGCTACTGGAGTTGAATAAGTACCGAACTTCGGCACACGAGGGCTGGCTCATATCAGTGCATATCAATCTCCTTGTTTGTAGAGTTTAGGGTTTGCCATTTGACATTTTTAACACTCAGAAAATAGTATGTACAGGTGACGGCACCAAATTTTAAACTACAACTTATTATTTAGTCTAAGGTGTAATAGTGGTATTTATATACTTAGCTACTACTACTACATAGTTAGGTTACCTCAAGCATGACGGCGTTCACAGTATACCGGTCGGCGGACATAATCGAGGTGCCCGTATCTACGCGGAGTCCATCGGGTAATGTCTTAACAGCGGTAAGCCCGAACACAGCTTTCCTTGCTAGCGACAACACAGTGAAGTGCATCGATTTAAGTTATACGACTAGTACCGGTAGTGATATAGGTAGTGATGCAGATGAGAGATGTGGGGTACCCTTTGACTTTGAGTCTGGGGTGGGGGTGAGGAATCCGTATGCAGATATGCGACTGGCAGATGTGAGCGGTCATGTGCACGCTAAGAACCAGATCGTGTCCATTGCATCGTATGTAGGGGATGACGTGGAGAGGCCGCATAGAGATAACCGCGGTGCCATAGCTAGTGTGGATGGATACGGTAATGTTGTATTGAATAACTGGAGTCGTGAGAACTCCGAGAGTCCTGTTGAGAGCAATGTTACTCATATCGATGCTCCAGTGGATTGTATCAGGAAAGAATACGGCTGGTCTGGCGTTGAGTACAATCCACGATCGTCGTCCGAGGTGAGGTCCCTATCTTGTATGTGTATTTAAGGCACTAGATATGTTTTTAATAGGTTAATGGGTTTGGGATCTTTCCTTATTTTAAGAATGGTTTGATATGCACGGTCAACGAAGTCTATTCATCAATACAAAGAATGTGACCGGTAAAGGTGGACGTATATGAGTTGGATATATCAGGCAAGTAGAAGAGCTGCCTATGCTTCATATCACAAATTTGATACGTGTGTGTATTATCAAGTAAAAGACATATGTTTCTTTCTGCTTTTATATATATATATGTATTATATATATATATATATATATATATATATATATATATATGTATTATATATATACTACATACATACATACTTACATACATACATACATGAATACATACATACATACATACATATTTACATACCTACATACTTACATACATACATACATACAGACATACAT